CTGGTCTACTAGGCTTTTAACTGCTTGCAGAGCTGTACCGGTCTACCCATTTATTTTTGCAGGCACTGGTCTACTCATGCATTTTTGCAGGCACCGGTCTACCACCAAACTGCCTTTTACCACTGATCAGCTGTAGGGCGGCCCTTTGAAGCCCCGCGGCAAGAGTTTAAACAGGTTTTTTCCTTATAGCCCATCAGCTGGGACTCAGGAGGCAGCAATAGATTGGGGGTGGTGCCAAATAAGAGGTAAGAATAACGTGGGGGGTCCGGGGGGGGCAGAACCAGTTTGGTGATGTCATATTGTCACCGCTACCGGCTCGGCAGAACCGGGCCGAACCGGGAGGAACCCACCACTGGTGTGCACGCAGGCAGCACCAAGTGCCAAAAAGGGAGCACTTCACGCACTTGTCTGGGCCAAGACCAGGAATAGGAGTTGACCAGAGGCGTGCACACACCGGAGAATGTATTTGCGGTTTCTTCAGGTTACTGCCGGCAAGTCTTCAGGTTTCTGCCATACATGCACACATGCTAATCAGTTGGTGAGCACGCCCAGGAAAATGTACTTCCAGTTTCCGATGCGTGCAGGCGTACCAGCTGGCAAGTCTTCAGGTTACTGCCACGCATGCGCACGCGCCAATCAGCTTGGCCAGCACACATGATCACACCAGAAAATGGAAGACCAGTTCCTCCACTTTCCATCATTGACGCAAGCCAGCCGATTGTCGCATGCGCACGCACAACAGAAACCCGGAAGAGGAACTGGCGACGGCCCGCATACCAGGCAACAAGGCTCCGTGTGCCATTTCGGGCATGCGTGCCATAGGTTGGCCATCACGGCCCTATACTGTTTCAGACAAGTGGCTGTCCAGTCTCTTTAAAACTTCCAGTGATGAAGCACCCACAATTTCTGGTGGCAAGCTGTTCCACTGGTTAATTGTTCTCACTGTTAGGAAGTTTCTCGTTCATTCCAGGTTGCTTCTCTTCTTGATTAGTTTCCATCCATTGTTTCTTGTCTTGCCTTTGGTGCTTTGGAAAATAAACTGACCCCCTCCTCTTTGTGGCAGCCCCTCAAATATTGGAATGCTGCTATTATGTCACCCCTAGTCCTTCTTTTCATTAAACTAGACATCCAATTCCTGCCAGTGTTCTTCATATGTTTTAGCCTTCAGTTCCCTAATTATCTTTATTGCTCTTCTCTGTACTCTTTCCAGAGTCTCAACATCTTGTTTTGTAACGTGGTGACCAAAACTGAATGCACTATTCCAGGTGTGGCCTTACTAAGGTATATAGCAGGGGTCTGCAACCTTAAATACTGAAAGAGCCATTTGGACCCGTTTCCCACAGAAAAGAAAACACCGGGAGCCACAAAACCTGGGTGGGCGTGGCCAACTCGATGTCACTCACTTCCACCAGTCACATGATCCCCCGTAGCCACGCCTACTCAGCCGGTCATTAGGGCAGAGAATCAGTTGTTAAAAAACACCGGGAACCACAAAATCCTTTTGACATATCCCTCTCTCCCCTCCCTCTCTCCCCCCCCCCTCTCTCCCTCTCTCTCTGTATCTCTCTGTCTCTGCCCTGGCCACTTCTCCATCCCCCGCCATCGCCCTTACCTTCTCAGACCAGGTGAGGAGTGACTGGGAGGGGAGGGCAAGGGGCGGGGCCAGCCAATGGTGGGATCACCTGACAGGGAGCCACAACAGAGGGCCCAAAGAGCCACATGCAGCTCCGGAGCCACAGGTTGCTGACCCCTGGTATATAGTCACATATAAAGCAGTACATCTATAAAGCGCTATATAGTCACATTTTTATAAAACAGCGTATAGTCACATGACCGCTGGATGCTGCCAGCAGTCATAAATGCTGACCAGCTGCCAAGCACCCAAAACGTGATCCGGTATGACTGAAGGAGGCCATTGGAACTTTGAATCTGAGTTGCACAGGTAGTCCTCGACTTACAACAGTTCATTTAGTGACCGTTCGAAGTTACAATAGCACCGAAAACAGTGACTTCTGTTTTATACACTGAAGACCTTTGTCACATTATCAAAATTCAAATGCTTGGCAACTGACTCATCCTTATGACCGCTGCCGTGTTCCAAGGACAAGCAAAGTCAGTGGGGAAGCCAGATTCACTTAACAACCGTATTACTAACTGTATCAACTGCAGAGATTCACTTAGCAACTCTGGCAGGAAAGATCGTAAAAATGGGGCCACACCTTTGGAATAACCGTGACCTGGATGACGGAGAATCACCATAGACAGATGAATATGCTTGTTACACCTCATATGTGAAAATACGCCAAATGCACCACGTGGTTTTACCAGGAGTATTTTATTTCTTAAAACGATGGATAAAGAGGTAGGAAGAGATACGATGCTACAACTGGGGTAAGAGATACGATGCTACGTTTCCAATAACATTCAGACCAGGGGTGAAATGTAAAATTTGTTACTACCGGTTCTGTGGGCGTGGCTTGGTGGTGGGGGGGGTAATGTGACTGGGTGGACGTGGCCAACTTTTTTTTTTTTTTAAACTTTTCAAAAGCATTTTTTCTAATGCTTTTTAAAAAAATACCTCTCTGCCGATCAGGCAACTCAGCTGGGATCGTCAGAGACTTTTCAAAGCATTTTTTTTTAACCACCTCTTTGGCCAAGAGGTTGCAGAAAAAAAATGCTTTGAAAAGCCTCTGACGTTCCCAGCTGAGCCGCCCAATCATCAGAGGCTTTTAAAAGCATTTTTTCATCGGAAGAGGTTGTAGAAAAAATGCTTTTAAAAGTTAAAAAAAAAAAAAAGCCTCTGATGATCCTGCGGCTCAGCTGGACATGGGGGGGGGGGCACAGGGATTTTTGCTACCAGTTCTCTAAACCACCCGCCATTGCTACCGGATCAGGCGATCCGATCCGAACTGGGAGCATTTCACCCCTGATTCAGACCCTGTCTCAAAGGTTATTAGGTTTAAGATCTTGAATCAAGATCACATGAAGTGTTAATACTGCTTTATAAAGCCTTAGTAAGACCACACTTAGAATACTGCATCCAGTTTTGGTCACCATATTACAAAGGAGATGTCGAGACCCCTGACTTCAGGCATCAAAGGGCAGCACAAATAGTAATGGGTAGAAGTTTGTCAAAAAGAGATATAGCCTAGAAGTAAGGAAACAATTTTTTTGACAGTGAAGACAATTAATCAGTGGAGTAGTTTGCCTCCCGGAGGTGAGAGTGCTCCATCAGTGGATATTTTTTAAAAAAAAATAGACTGGAGAACCATTTGACTGGATGGTATATGGCTCCTGCCTTGAGCAACGGGTTGGACTAGGAAAAATTGCACATCGGTTTTGCGTTGCATTTTCTGTTCATGTCAAGAGTATGTGATGTTGGAATTTGCTGGGTTGCATCACCCTTCATTATGGACTATGCCAGGGTCGGCAACCCATGGCTCTGGAGCCGCATGTGGCTCTTTCATCCGTCTGCTGCAGCTCCATGTTGCCGGTTGGCTCCACAATTGATAGGGCTTTTGGTTAGGACAGGTAGAGGAAAAAGGACGCCGTGCTAGGAGGAGACTCTATGGTGGGGGAACCGGACTTACCGTCGGCAGAGGAAAAAGGATGTCGTGCTCGGAGGAGTCTCTATGGCGGGACAACCGGACTTCCGGTCAGCAGAGTAAAAAGGACACTACACTAGGAGACTCTATGGTGGGGTGGGGTGGGGTAGGGTTAGGGTTGCGGGGAGGGAAACAGGACTTCCGGTCAGCAGAGGAAAAAGGACACCGCACTAGGAGGAGACTCTATGGTGGGGGAACAGGGCTTCCGGTCGACTCCAAAATTGAACGGGGGGCTTCCAGTTAGGACCTTTGTGGCTCTTTTGAGTGTTTAAGGTTGCCGACCCCTGGACTATGCTGTGAACTCTGACCTTTCAAGAGCAAGAAGCACTTCTGGAATTGACATCAGACTGCAATTTGAAGGAACTTTTTAATGAAAAAACACTGACCGAGTTCTGGAGCCACGTTACAAAACTGTACCCGGAAGTGGGGGTGGGGGGTAGGAAGCTATCACTTTTTGAAAAAAACTGAACTAGAAGACTTCACAGGTCCCTTCCAGCCTTATGATTCTAACTCACTTTTGAGGTTCACCTCACGGTGGCATCTCAAAAGGAAAGCTTCACGTAGGTTTATAGTGCACCAAAGTCTAGTCACAATTTTCAGTCCTGAAAATAGGCATTTTTCTTCCACTCAAATCATGCCATCTTCCTGATCACATATTCTCACGAGAGGGTATCCCCTTCTACTTCCAAAGTAATTATTGTATTTTTCAGAGTATAAGACACACTCCCCCCCTTAAAAGAGGGTGAAAATTTGGGTGCGTGTTATACACCGAATGTAGCCCTGCCCACCCGTCGGCCCCCACCCTTTAGCCTCTGCCCCCCAACAATTTGCCTTCTTGCAGCAACAGCCCGTTTCAGCTTCAGCACAGCCTGATTAACACAAGCAGCTGATTGTCGGTTGGATCGGCCTCCCGACCATCAGCTGTTTCAGGCTGCAGGGATTGCCATTGCCTATTGCCGCCTCCGCGCGCAGCCTTCGCTGTTTGCTGCAAGGAGGCAAATTGCTGGGATTTGTTGGGAGGCAGAGGCAGATTTTTTTTTCTTGTGCTAATCAGGCTGTGCTGAAAATGAAAATGAAACTGAAACAGGCTGTTTGCTGTTGGCTGCAAGGAGGCAAATTGCTGGGAGGCAGAGGCAGATTTTTTTTTTCCTTGTTTTTCTCCCCAAAAAAGGAAGATGCCTCATACTCTGAAAAATACGGTATTTTAATTCAACCTCTGTTGGCTTCTGGGGATGTCCAAAAAGTCAAGATATGGACATATAAAGCAGCGTGGCTTTAATTATATCACCAGTCAAAATCATATCCCTGATGAAGCTTATTCAATCTCCCCGGCCAAAATGTTTTTGGAAAAAAACAGTAGAATATTTCGAGTATGATGGGAAACGATACAATCAATACGAAACAGTAAATTTATTCATAGTATTTTCCCTGATGTTAAACACCCAACGGCAGAGGCTTGATAACCTCGAAGTGAATAAAGTTCTCGTTTCGGCATCACACCCCTTGTAGCGAAGCTAGACTGATGCACATCAGTTTGCATCTGTACCCATTTATCCTTGGCCTCCTCCCACTTTTATCAATTGCAATAGTAACATTTTGAGTATCGTATCGTAAAACATTCTGTAAAAGCAGAGTTTCCCATCCTTGGATCACAAGACATGTGGACTTCAACTCCCAGAGTTCCATGCTGGGCTGGGGAATTCTGGGAGTTGAAGTTTATGTGTCTTAAAGTGGCCGAAGTTGAGAGCCACTGTGCAAAAAAAAAAAAAAAAAAAAATTGGTCAACAGATGAAGAAATCTCTGTTCTGCCATGAATGGAATTCAGATCAGATTTGGAAAATACAAGGAACAGATCAACATGTTCTGTCCAGGGGTGGGGAAGTTTCTCAGCGACTCCCACCGGTCGGAAAATATATTATATTTTAGAAGAACCCGGTGCTCCAAGCTCGTGGACAAAATAATATCTCTGCTCAGGATGTAAATCCCATCGTTGTGCAAAGTGCAAGTCAAGTTCAGACCCGATTTTGATGTGTTTTCTTTGAGGTAGAGCCACTGTTTGGTAACCACGTTGTAAGACTGCACGGTTAACATATCCTCATTCTGACCAGATCGTTTATCGGAATCCAAGTCGTGGCTGCAGCCGCCAACTATGTAGATGGTCTCTTCCACCGATAACATTTGCTGCTTGCGGATGTGCAATCCACAGGTTTCAAAGTCAGTCCACTTGTCAGAGATGGGACAATATTCCCAGATATTCAGATTCCGGTCTGCAATAGAGAAAAGAAGCTTAATGCAAGTAAGTCCTCAACTTACAACCACAATGGAGCCCAAAGTTATGCTGCTAAGTGAGACATTTGTTAAGCGAGTTTTCTCCCTGTTACGACTTTTCTTGCCACATTTGCTAAGTGAATCCCTTTTTTTTTTGGTCATTTAATGACACCGTAATCCCTTGCATGGTGGCGTCTGGGAAACTGAATGGAGCTGAGGGTTTACTGGCCGGATGCCCTTCCTGTAGCCAATGCGGAGTTTTGTTCAGCAGATATATTCTCATAGTGTCTACTATTATTCTATTCTATTCTATTCTATTCTATTCTATTCTATTCTATTCTATTCTATTCTATTCTATTCTATTCTATTCTATTCTATTCTATCCTATCCTATCCTATCCTATCCTATCCTATCCTATCCTATCCTATCCTATCCTATCCTATCCTATCCTATCCTATCCTATCCTATCCTATCCTATCCTATCCCTATCCCTATCCCTATCCCTATCCCTATCCTATCCTATTCTTCTATCTGTGACCAGGGGGGGCATTTGCTCAGGTTCACCTGGTGCGCCAATTGCGGCCCTACTTGGACCGAGATGCCCTACGCACGTTCACTCATGCGCTCGTCACCTCTCGTATTGACTACTGCAATGCTCTCTACATGGGACTGCCCCTGAAGACCACTCGGAGGCTTCAGCTGGTGCAGAATGCGGCCACACGGGTAGTGATGGGAATGTCCCGACACTCCCGTGTTACACCTCTCCTGCGCGACTTGCACTGGCTGCCGGTTGTCCTCCGGGTGAGATTCAAGGTGCTGGTGATTACCTATAAAGCCCTACATGGCTTAGGCCCGGGATATTTGACGGACCATCTGCAGCCAGCAACAGCTTCCCATCGCCCGGTGCGCTCCCACAGGGAGGGCCTACTCAGGGTGCCGTCGGCCAGACAGTGTCGGCTGGCGACCCCCAGGGAGAGAGCTTTCTCTGTGGGCGCACCCGCTCCTTGGAATCAACTCCCTCTGGAGCTCCGGATGGCCCCCGACCTTCGCTCTTTCCGCCATGGGCTGAAAACTTAGCTATTTCACCTGGCCGCCTTGGACTGATGGGGGTTTTAATCTGGGTTTTATTGAATTTCTAAATTTTAACCTGGACTTCTGTTTTAATGGTTTGTCTGTTCTGTTTTAATTGTTGTGAGCCACCCTGAGTCCTGTGGAGATAGGGCAGCATACAAGTACCAATAAATAAATAAATAAATAAATAAATAAATAAACAAACAAACAAACAAACAAACAAACAAACAAACAAACCTCGAGGACTACCTGTACAAGAGTGACTGAGTGCATGACTACCTGCAGTCCCTGCTGTTTCTTGTTAGGGTGGCCATTAATCCCATTCTGCTTTTGGGTAATTGCACCTTGATTTAGAGAATGGATCGTGACCTTCCCTTGAAGTATACATTAAGAAAATAAACCCGAAGATACGTTTTCTAAGAAAAACTCATTTATTTGTTATAAAGAAAATAAAACATCTCACTAGCTAATTAGTTACATCTTGGCAGCGTTCCCGGCCACCTCTCCTGGCCGGAGAACAAAGAAAGTTTTAGAGAAGAAGAAAAGAACGTAGACATGCGCAGTAGCTACTGATAAGAACTTGGCAAGCTACGGTAAGTCTGAAAGTCCAAAAATAAGAGCTCATCTGGTAAATACAAAAACGCAGTGACATTTCTTACCTCTTGGTGTGTAGCCTCCCATGACATAGATCTTCTCCTTGCATTCGCAGGCCGAGAACTCCACAAGGGGAGCTGGTAAAGGTGCCACGAAGGTCCAGCCATCTTGCTCCGGGTTGTAATACTCAACACTGGAGAGGGATTGGCCCCCGACGGCATATAATTTCCCACTCACGGCCAAGAGCTTAAAATTAGCCCTAGGCCCTGCTGTTTCTTGTTAGGGTGGCCATTAATCCCATTCTGCTTTTGGGTAATTGCACCTTGATTTAGAGAATGGATCGTGACCTTCCCTTGAAGTATACATTAAGAAAATAAACCCGAAGATATGTTTTCTAAGAAAAACTCATTTATTTGTTATAAAGAAAATAAAACATCTCACTAGCTAATTAGTTACATCTTGGCAGCGTTCCCAGCCACCTCTCCTGGCCGGAGAACAAAGAAAGTTTTAGAGAAGAAGAAAAGAATGTAGACATGCGCAGTAGCTACTGATAAGAACTTGGCAAGCTACGGTAAGTCTGAAAGTCCAAAAATAAGAGCTCATCTGGTAAATACAAAAACGCAGTGACATTTCTTACCTCTTGGTGTGTAGCCTCCCATGACATAGATCTTCTCCTTGCATTCGCAGGCCGAGAACTCCACAAGGGGAGCTGGTAAAGGTGCCACGAAGGTCCAGCCATCTTGCTCCGGGTTGTAATACTCAACACTGGAGAGGGATTGGCCCCCGACGGCATATAATTTCCCACTCACGGCCAAGAGCTTAAAATTAGCCCTAGGAAAAAAAAGACATTTGGAGAAATTGAAGGTTAAGGCGGAGATATTTCCCACCCGATGTTTTCTTTCAACAACCAGTTTTTCCAACAGCGAGTAATACAAATCTTTTAATTTTATTCAGCCGCCTCCATGCAAGCTTTCCATTTATGTTCCGTTCACATGCCCATTCACTTCAGTCAATTGTGTTATTGCTGCAGCCTGATTTGGCAGTATTTAAGTGTTTTTAAATTAATTTCCGAGTTTGCTTAAGTATTTATTTTCATTTCTAACTTTCTTGAGCCCACGGAACTCGTATAACAATTTCCGCTCTCTTCTCCCTAGGCGGCCAAAGTGTTTGAGCTTCATTATCTGTTCAGGACAGTCAGGGTTGATTTCGAGACGGGATGGGATTGGGGTTGGGGTTGGGATTGGGATGGAACAGAATTGAACAACAGAACACAAACGAATGGAACAGAACAGAACAGAAAATATGGAATGGAATGGAAGGAACAACAGAACAGAACAGAACAGAACAGAAAATAGGGAATGGAATGGTATGGAATGGGAATGGAATGGAAGGGAATGGAAGGGAATGGAATGGAATAGAATAGAATAGAATAGAATAGAATAGAATAGAATAGAATAGAATAGAATAGAATAGAATAGAAAGAATCTAGAAGGGACCTTGGAGGTCTTCTAGTCCAGCCCCCTGCTCAAGCAAGAGAACCTATACCGTGTGTTTCTACATTGAACTCCAGAAATACACTTGAACAGGAATTTTATTCTCTATATATTCTCTATATAGCCCCACACCTGCTCACTGATATTCTCCACCAAATATTAGAGTGGATGCCCATCAAGCTCAGAATAAGAGTTGGGACCTTGGAGGTCTTCTAATCCAATCCCCTGCTCAGGCAGGAAATCCTACACCATTTCAGACAAATGGTTATCCAACATCTTCTTAAAAATTTCCAGTGTTGGAGCATTCACAACTTCTGCAGGCAAGTTGTTCCACTGATTCATTGTTCTCACTGATAGGAAATTCCTCCTTAGTTCTAAGTTGCTTCTCTCTTTGATTAGTTTCCACCCGTTGCTTCTTGTTCTACCCTCAGGGGCTTTGGAGAATAGCTTGACTCCCTCTTCTTTGTGGCAGCCCCTGAGATATTGGAACACTGCTATCAGGTCACCCCAAGTCCTTCTTTTCATTAAACTAGACATAACCCAATTCCAGCCTCGTTCTTCATGTTTTAGCCTCCAGTCCCCTAATCCTCTTGGTTGCTCTTCTCTGCACTCTTTCTAGAGTCTCCACTTCTTTTTTTGCATCGTGGCGCCCAAAACTGGATGCGGTATTCCAAGCGTGGCCTTACCAAGGCATCATAAAGTGGTATTGATATACTATTACCTTCTCAGCGTTCCCACCATCCATCTCCTTCCACTTATGACTGTATGACTGTAATTTTTCTTGCTTGTATCCTTACGATTTATATTGATATTGTTTCCCGATTGCTTATTTGTACACCCTATAACTATCATTAAGTGTTGTACCTTATGATTCTTGATGAACGTATCTTTTTTTTATGTACACCGAGAGCATATGCACCAAGACTAATTCTTTTATGTACACCGAGAGCATATGCACCAAGACTAATTCTTTTATGTACACCGAGAGCATATGACCAAGACTAATTCTTTTATGTACACCGAGAGCATATGCACCAAGACAAATTCCTTGTGTGTCCAATCACACTTGGCCAATAAAGAATTCTACTCTACTCTACTCTACTCTAACACTTCACGTGATCTTGATTCTATCTCTCTGTTTATGCAGCCTAGAACTGCATTGGCTTTTTTTGACTTACAGCCGTTTATGTCAGAACACTGCTATCCTGTCACCCTTAGCCTTTCTTTCCATTCACTTGGATCAGGGGTCAGCAACCTTCGGCTCTGGAGCCGCATGTGGCTCTTTCACCCCTCTACTGCGGCTCCTTGTCATTTAATATATGCGTCACAACCTTGCGGCTCCTTGTCATTCAATATATGCGTCACAACCTGCAATGTGCGACACCTGCCAGTACGTGATTTATTGAGTTTTTCAACCCCCGGTAGGCCAACCATGGATAAATCCAAGAAAAGTTTCAGGAGAAAAACAAGAAGGTTTAATTCAACTACATATGCTAGTTTTGTGGCCAAGAAATAGTCAGGCATGGGATGGGTTTTGTGGCTCCCGGTGTTTTCTTTTGTGTGGGAAACGAGTCCAAATGGCTCTTTTGAGTGTTTAAGGTTGCAGAACCCTGACTTAGATAGCCTCACCTCTTCTGGTTCATGGAGGCCAGCTGGCGCCACTCGTTCAGCCAGGGGTTGTAACGGTGGGCGGCTGCGATCTCCTGGCTGCTCGGCCGGTAGCCACCTGCCACGAACAGGTAGTTGTCCAGGGCAGCCCAGCCGAAGCCGCGCACCTGGAGCAGGTCGGCGGGAGGTTCGGCGGGCGGCAGAGGCTCCCAGAGCCGCTTCTCCTCCTCGTAGTGCAGCAGCGATGGCCGGTCGGGGAAGCTGCCCAGGAGAAGCAGAGCCGGCCGGCCTCGGTGGCGGCGCTGGCGGAGCTGGTGCGATAGGGCGTCGGGCAGCAGGAAGGGCAGGCGGGCTTCGGGCCGGGCCAGCAGCTGATGCAGACGGCCGGTCATGAAGTCGAGGCAAGCATCGCGCAGCTCGGGGAGCCCGTAGACCTGCGCCAGCTGATGCAGCTCCAGGCAGTTGGGCAGCCGCACCCGGGAGCGCAGCAGGCTGAGCAGCGGCGTCACCTGCAGGAAGGAAGCGGCCTCCACCAGCTCGGCCAGAGCCCCTTCATCGGGCGGCTCCTCCTGAGCCAGCCGCGCCGTCTCGACGAACTGCAAGACCTGAGCCAAACCGGCTTCGCTCAGCCCGCCGCTCAGCTGTTGCACCGCCACCCCGGAGTCCCCCCCAGCTGCCTCCCGCATGCCCGAGCGGTACAGAGCGCGGAAGTAATCGCTTTGCTCGATCAGACGCTTCTTGCGCACCGGAGGGAAGCGGCGATCGCCCAGGCGGACTTCCACCACCTCCTCCTCCTGATCCGCTTGCGCCCCTTCCTCCCCAGCGGCGCCCTCGCCTTCCTTGCCGGACATCCCTCGGCCGGGAGCAGAGCGCCGGCGCGGGGCGGGGATGATCGCGGAGGCGGACCCGGGTTGGAGCCTCGCCCCCGCAGCTTCGTCCCGCCGGGAAAGCCCTAAAAGGCGAGAGGCTGGAAGCGGCTACAGTTGGGCTGCGGCTCGCTCGCTCTCTCTCTCCCCCTTGGGCCGATGCGAAGTTCTTTTGCGAACTAAAGCCGGAATAATAATAGTAATAGTAATAATAATAATAATAGTAGTAGTAGTAGTAATAATAGTAATAGTTATAATAAATATAGAAATTATTAATATATATATTTAATATAATTTAATTTAATTAATATATATAATTAATATAATAATATAATAATATAATATAATATAATATAATAATATAATATAATATAATATAATATAATTAATATAATATAATATAATATAATATATAATATAATATAATATAATAAATATAATATAATATAATATAAATATAATAATACAATACAATACTATACTATACTATATATATTAATATAAATAAATAATATATAAATTATACAAATAGTAATAATAATCTTGTTACCATGTCCCAGAATTGTATAAGGTACATCAGCAAATTGCAGCTTCCTGCAATAACACCAGCGGACCTGCAAAAATCTGTGCTACTTGGAACTTCTTACATCTTAAGAAGGAACTTGGTTGATACCTAGGATGCTGGCAGCAACCGTATCAACCATTAGCACCAGTCAATGGTATTTGTGATCCATTTTTGAATGTTCAGTTGACTTGAGTTTCATGTTTAATGAATAAAGTAAACAATAACAATAACAATAAATAGGAGGAGGAGGAGAGGCGGAAGAGATGGTGGTGGAGGTCAAGAAGAAGGGGAGGAGGAGGAGGAGGAGAAGGAGAAGGAGAAGGAGAAGGAGAAGGAGAAGGAGAAGGAGAAGAAGAAGAAGAAGAAGAAGAAGAAGAAGAAGAAGAAGAAGAAGAAGAAGAAGAAGAAGAAGAAGAAGAAGAAGATGATGATGATTGGGGTAGCATCGGCACAAGATTAAACTTTCCATTAAATCGTCCCAAAGGGGCTTTTTCAGAAGGCAACTGGACTACCTTGTTTTTCTGACACCCTTGGAATGGTGTGGGAGTAGCAATAGATTTCCGGGGTGGGGTGGGGAATTGCAGACTACAGGAACCATTTGCACTACTCAGGTGACCCTGAGGACACAGATAAACCTCCAAGTGCCTCCACAACTCTCTAAACTAAAAGGATGCAAATGACCAACTTTCTGCAAGGAATATAAATCCTTCCATTCCCCACCATCCGGTCAGAGCTGAAGAAGCTTCTTGGATGAGAAGTGAAATGTCTTCAAAAGAAAAAAAAAAGGGAACTCCTGAAAAAGCACCTTTAGGTCAACAGTGACCTGGATGACTGAGGCTTTTAGGTTTCCATTCAATCAAATCCTGCCAGAGACGCAACTTCGGTATTTAAATGAATTTTATGGATGCTCATTCGTGACGGGGAATCGAGATCTTGCTCAGCCTTCCTATGTTTAGAATCAAAAAGACTACAAAAATGGATATGGGTTTCTAAATTTATGGTTGTTTATTTGCATCGACGACCCCAAAATATAATTGCAATAACTAAAAGCCTGTAGAGATTCTCAGTCATCCAGGTCATGGTTGTCCCAACGGTGCTTTTTCGGGAGGCAACTGGGCTTCCTTGTTTTTTCTTTCTTTGAAGACATTTTGCTTCTCATCCAAGAATCTTCTTCAACTCTGACAGGACAGTGAGGAATGGAAGGATTTATATTCCTTGCAGACAGCTGGTCATCTGCATCCTTTGAGAGGGTCCTTGAAGCACTTGGAGTTAATCTGTGTCTTCAGAGTCACCTGAGTGGTACTAATGGTTCCTGTAGTCTGCAATTTTTCCTCTGGAAATCCATTCCTACTCCCACACCCCTCAAAAGGTGTTTACTCCAAATTGCACAGCCAAAAGTGTGTAGAGATTCTCAATCCATCCAGGTCATGGTTGTCCCAAAGGTGCTTTTTCAGGAGGCAACTGGACTTTCTTGTTTTTGAAGTTTTGGGGTGAAGTAAATGTTTCTTTGTGACTTAACAGAGGCCTGGAAAATCAATTTTTTTACTGTCCTTCCCAACCTCTCCCATAAGGCAGTGTTGTGGCCCGTCAGCGGCCTGTGCAGATTGTAGCTGATTCCGACAACGAGGAGGCTGGTGTGGTGTTGCGCCAACAGCCTGTGTAGCTGGCGCTCGAGTCGGACAGTGAGGAGGCTGGAGAAGATGTGGTGCCAGAGGCAGGGATTCAGCCAGGGCCTTCAGAACCTCCAGAAGCTCCTTTAAGTGAAGAGGACGAAGAGGAGGAGCCTCTTCTCAATGCACGGGCACGCAGAGCTGCCAAAAGGCAGGAGTGGCTCCTCAGGGGGAGGTCTCCTTGAGAGTAAGGCTTGGGGCTAATTGACCACTCCCTTAGCCTATTTAAGGAGGAACGCCGATTGCAGCAAGTTGTAGGGAACAACTTTAGTTCACTCTCCTTTGTGTCTGGATTCTCTGCAAAATTACTTCTGGGCTTTCTGCCAACTCTAGTAAGACTGTGATACCTTATCTCAGAATTCTTGTAGACTGTTAAGACAGTTTATTAACAGCCTTTGGTTGATAAAGACTGAGTTATTTGAGTAAAATAAGCTTTGTACAGAGTTTGTGTGTGCTGTGTTCTTTGGGGTCCATAGCTGGGGCAGAACAGGCAGCTACAAAGATGTGCAATAATCTTAAAGGCCCATTCAAGGACATTTTTGCATTTTTACTTTACAAGAAACAAGTTGCTAATAGCAGCTCTGGAGATTAGTGACAGCCCACTGCAAATGTGCCGATATGGTAACTCAAGCAAAATCAAGATCTTGAACGCTGAGATTTGAGTTCATTGAGTTCCTGTTGAGACTCTAGAAAAAGTGCAGAGAAGAGCAACCAAGATGATTAGAGGACTGGAGGCTAAAACATACGATGAACAGTTGCAGGAACTGGGCATGGCTAGTCTAGTGAAGAGAAGGACCAGCGGAGGCATGATAGCAGTCTTCCAATATTTGAGGGGCTGCCACAGAGAGGAGGGGGTCAAGCTATTTTCCAAAGCACCGAAAGGCCAGACAAGGAATAATGGGTGGAAACTAAACAAGGAGAGATTCAACCTCGAAATAAGGAGAAATTTTCTGACCGCGAGAACAATCAACCCATGGAACAGAAGTTGCCTTCAGAAGTTGTGAGAGCTTCATCGCTTTCAAGGAGAGGCTGGACTGCCATTTGTCGGAAATGGTGTAGGGTCTCCTGCTTGGGCGGGGGGTTGGACTAGATGACCTATAAGGTCCCTTCCAACTCTGTTAATCTGTTAAATTTAAAGAGTTTTGTCCTTCAAACAGCAACTTCCGAAGCTTACTTGATCCTAGGATGGATCTTGGGACTTATAAACTAATAAATCTCATTGCTTTAATCTTCTAAGAAAAGCAAAGATCCTGGAAAAGAGAAAGGAGTTGTTGAAATTAGTTTGGTGGCTGATATCAGTTATGCAATGCGATGATCTGGGCAGAAAAAAAAAGGGCTTTGATGAAGCCATTTATTTATTTATTTTATTGGATTTATATACCGCCCTACTCCCGAAGGACTCAGGGCAGTGAACAGCCACAGAATAAAACACATAAATACAAAAAATTAAAATAGAATAAAAACAAATTAAATAATTTGGCTGAGACAAATTTAAAATACCCAATAATTTAAAAACAAATTAAAATTTACATTTAAAAGGGGAGAAGATTTAGGCCAGGCCATTGTGTATTCCAAGTCTTTAAGATATGACAGCCAGCAAACCATCTTTCCTAAATGTCTTTCTTAATCAGATAAACAAACCCCGAATCAACCGTGAGTTCTGCCAAGCTTCACTCCAGCGCTTGGCAATAAGTGTGCAATTCCTCAGTTGTTTCTGCCCATCTGCGGGTATAAAGTTACCCAGCAAAAAAGTTTCAGACATCACTTGTTAGGTTAGTTTAATCTCCTCATTGCTGGCAAGGAGGAAACCTTCCCGGCCCAAAGAATTGGACTTCGGCAATGCAAAAAAAAACATTAATAATAAAATAAAAAGACCCACTTTATTATTTTTTATTGTACATTTTCCTTCATTTTACATCACAATTTCAATTTTGCAACAACGATATGCTGGTTGCATCAGCACCTTTTAAAATATACATGATGTTATACATCCTAGTTACGACCATTTTTCTCTTGTTTATACAGTATAGTCCCGTGATGGCGAACCTATGGCACGCATGCCACGTGGAGCCATATTGGTGGGCACGCGAGCTCAGCTCTGGCATGCATGCTTGCACTGGCCAACTGATTTTTGGGCCTTCTGGGCCCACCGGAAGTCGGCAAAAAGGCCGTTTCCAGCCTCCGGGGGGGGAACGTTTTCACCCTCCCCAGGCTCCTAAAGAGGCTCTGGAGCCTGGGGAGAGCAAAGAATGGGCCTTCCGGTCCCACTGGAAGTCAGCAAACGGGCTGTTTCCGGCCTCCAAAGGGCTTCCAGGGGGTGAGGAAGGCCATTTTCGCCCCCCCCCCCGGGCTCCTAGAGAGGTTCTAGAGCCTGAGGAGAGCAAAAAACGGGCCTACTGGGCCCACCGTGCCATTGCGTGCCAAAAGCAGGGGGAGCACAGGGGGCGCCTGCACATGTGGGGGGTGGGACGCATGGTATTATGGGTGTGGGCACGTGCACGTGCGCCCCTCCGCTCCCCCCAATTTTGGCACGTGATGGCAAAAAGGCTAGCCATCACGGGTATAGTCCATAGAAAAAAGAATAAAAACTTGATATTATACAACATACTTATATCTATTGTATCCATGGTTATAATATACTTCCCTATACATTTATCACTCTATATATTTTGATTTGCAATTATGTACAATCTAACACCAATATTACTTACAATACATATTCTTCTATATAGCTTTATACCTGTATTTGTTTCTAACT